GTCCCATCAGCATTGTATGAGGGTTCTAATTTTAACACGTTTTTACCAACACTTGTTAAAATTGTCTTTTTTTTTTCTTTTAGATTTATTTATTTGTTTATTTGACAGAGAGAAGAGAGAGAGGGCACAAGTAGGCAGAGTGGCAGGCAGAGGGAGAGGTAGACGCAGGCTGTCTGCTGAGCAGGGAGCCCGATTCGGGGCTCAATCCCCGGATCCTGGGATTCATGACCTGAGCTGAGGGCAGCTGCTTAACTGACTGAGCCACCCAGACGCCCCTAAAATTGTCTATATTTAAAATTGTAGTCATCTTAGTGGGTGTGAAGTTGTACCTAATTGTGGTTTTGATTTGCACTTCCCTAATGATGTGGAGCATCTTTTTTATGTGTTTATCATCCATTTGTAGTCTTTGTGGAGAAATGTCTTTCAGATCCTTGGCGCATTTTTTAATTGGTCTATTTGTTGTCTTTTTATTGTTAAGTTGTAAGAGTATTTTACACTTCCTGGAGTCAAGTCTCTTATCAGCTGTGTGATTTGCACATGTTTTCTCCCATTCTCTGAGTTGTCTTTGTCCTTTATTGATAATACCCTTTGAAACACAAAAGTTTTTAATTGTGATGAAGTAGAATTTATCAGCTTTTTCTTAGGTCACTTGTGCTTTTAATGTCATATCTAAGAAGCCATTGCCTCATTCAAAAGTCGTGAAGATTTATTCCTATGTTTTTCTCTTAGAGTTTTATAGTTTTAGTGGTTAAATTTAGGTATGTGAGCCATTTGAGTTAATTTTTGTGTGTGGTGTGAAGAAGAGGTCCAACTTCACTTTTTCTTGCATGTGGATATTCACTTGTTCTCGCACTATTTGTGAAAAAAGACTTTTTATTTTTCCCCATTGAATTATTTTGGCACTTTTAAGAGAGGGATTTCAAAAGCAGTTTTAAAAGAGGAGTTCCAAAGATGTTACTGATTATTTCAATAATTCATGGTCCTCCTAAGGTGACTGTTTTGAAGAAGTGCATATTTTTGGTAGTTGCTCATGGCAGTTACTTGGCAGTTCAGTTACTTTATGTTCATTAGTTTTGCTCCCTGTTGCCCTCACAACAGTATTCAGGCCTAAGTATCACAGGCTTTTGGAAGATAAAGTTTGTGGTTCCTTTACTTTAAGACCACTGCTTGTCATTTTCTTTAATTGCTTTAATAATCAAATTGTTAAATTCTTAATTCCAGAGAACAGGAAGGAAGTGTGTAGTGAGAACAGAAGCATTCTTTTTAATTTGAATAATTAGAACATAATTGGCACTAAAATAAAAATTACTTAAAATGATCTGATTATTGAACCATTAGTTTTGTTTTACCGTGTTTTGTTTGAAGTATAACTTGTCATATCCTTCATAGCCGCTGAAGAAAGGGGAGAAAGAAAAGAAAAAAAGCAATTTGGAACTCTTCAAAGAAGAATTGAAACAGTAAGTTTTATAGTGTGGAGAATGGCTGTCATAGGTATATTGAGCTGATACGTACAGATGCAGGTATGAAGAACGTAGTGTCCCCGTTATCACTAACTGCCTTACCTATGATGAGGTTGTTTTAAGTATGATAGTGATTTTTTTTTAGGGTATGCTTGAAGATGATTTAGCATTTCATCCAGCATCTAGGTTGGTAGCATAATATGGATGCAATTCAGTTGATTTATCTAATGTCCGGAGTCCTGTTTGCAGTGGAAACAATGTAGTCACTGAGATGGGGGTGAGGAGTGAGCAGACTTAACCAAGAAAGGACAAATTCATTGGTTTTGATGTTGAATTTCCTCCTCACCTTAGAAGTGAGCTTCGTACTCTAATGCTTGCATGACATGTCAGAAATTTGCTTATGACTGTTACAGCTGAGGAACTCTTTAATCTTGGTTGTTAGTACTGGCATTTAATTACTCACAAATATTTCAAGTTATATGAACATAGTATCTGGATAAACTGTATTAATAAATGTGAATGAACAACTTTTGCCTCATTATTAGTGATTATAAATATTTTCAACAGAATTCAGGAAGAGCGTGATGAGAGACATAAAACAAAAGGCAGGTTAAGCCGATTTGAGCCTCCTCAGTCAGATTCTGATGGTCAGCGTCGTTCTAGTAAGTGGCATTTATTTTAATGTTTATATTGTGATTAACTATTCTAAAAACTAAGAATTGTTTTCTTTTTCCCCTTTTAAAGTGGATGCGCCTTCAAGAAGAAATAGATCATCTGGTGGTAATACAGTTTTTTGCTTTTTTTAATTAATAGAAATTTTTCAAACTTTGTATTATGCAGGTTATAATTTTTTTTTCCCCTCTTTATCCTAGTTCTTGATGATTATGCACCTGGCTCACATGATGTAGGGGATCCAAGCACTACTAATTTATATCTTGGAAATATTAATCCACAGGTAATATTAGAAAAGTTAGATGAATGTTGGCTCATATTCTTTATAATTATGGAAGAAAATTGCTTTGTCAACAAAAAATAAAGTCAAGAATCTGAAGTAAGCAAATTTGAAGGAACCTAGAGACTATTGAAGTCTCTAAAATTATCTTATAAAATTGAGCCTTACTGGTATGGGCTGAATTGTCTTGCTACAATTCTTAAGGACTTATCTCCTCTTTCTGTAACTTGGCTATCTTAATTTGAAATATCTTACTGTGTACTGATTTTATTATTTATCAAATCAGGATTTGACCAGTGGTGAACAGTGTTCTTTTGAGACTACCCTCTTGTGCATAGCTTACTTCCTTAATGGACATCCTTTTTCTGTTTTCTCTTCATGATAGCAAATTAGTAATTTGTGAATTCTTTTCCTCACTTCAGTGTTACTTGTGTTATGAGGAATATAGTGGTAGTTATATGCTCTTTTAAAAAATTATGTTTTTTTTTTTTAAAGATTTTATTAGAGAGAGAGTGCACAAGCAGTGGGGGAGGGGCAGACGGAGAGGGAGAAGCAGGCTCCCCACTGAGCAGGGAGCCCGATGTGGGACTCCATCCCAGGACTCTGGGATCATGACCTGAGCCGAAGGCAGACGCCCAACCGACTGAGCCACCCAGGCGCCCAAAATTATGTTTTGGACCTCATTGTATATTTACCATTTTCTCTTTTTCTCTCTTCTTAATTACATTGGGTGCTGGAAAAAGAAAAAGTGATTAGATGCTTTTTTTTTTCTTTCATCACCAACATGTACTTTCTCCTTGCCTTAAATGTGATAATCAGAGCTGACTGAAAAAAGTTGCTAAATGTCTAAACAAACCACTGCCGAAGAACAGCTTATTTTAGATGCAGGATCTCAAAAGGAACAGCAGGGGAGATAGAGGTGTGCTTTTCTTTAGCCACCCAGCCTCTTCACCCTGACCACTTACTTGTGTTTCTGGTATGAAAAGATTTGTGAATGTCCCCTGAGGGCAAGATTGTACTATTTAGGGTCCTAGTACTTGAATGGAAACTTGTAGCATTAATAGGACTCACTGTTCATTTTGTAAAAATTTGCTCGCTGTCACAGACTTCTTCCCTCCTTTTTTCTGCATGCCGAAAAAACTCTTACGCCTTTTATATTTATTTATTTATTTATCTATTTATACATTTTTATGCCTTTTAATAGATGAATGAAGAAATGCTTTGTCAAGAATTTGGAAGATTTGGACCATTAGCCAGTGTGAAAATTATGTGGCCTAGAACTGATGAAGAAAGAGCAAGAGAGAGAAATTGTGGCTTTGTGGCCTTTATGAATAGAAGAGATGCTGAAAGAGCTTTAAAAAATTTAAATGGTAAAGTTTTTTACTGCCTACTATAGAATTCAGCCTTTTTTTCTGGTTCTGAAAAGTATAAAAACTCTAGGGAAAAAATGGACCAGAAATGGAAAGGTTAAACATGGAAATTAATTCAAATTAACAGAGATCTTTTATTTTGTTTTGAGAATTACCAGGGTGACCTTTCTTTTCTTCTTTGCAGGAAAGATGATTATGTCTTTTGAAATGAAGTTAGGTTGGGGTAAAGCTGTGCCTATTCCTCCACATCCAATATACATTCCGCCTTCTATGATGGAACATACGCTTCCCCCACCTCCATCAGGACTGCCTTTTAATGCGCAGCCTAGAGAGAGGTTAAAAAACCCTAATGCTCCAATGTTACCGCCACCTAAAAACAAGGAGGATTTTGAGAAGGTAATTTAAAAAATGTACATAGGGCCGCATCTAATTTGTAAATACTAAATCTGTGGTAGTATTTCTTTTCAATAATTTTATAGAAAATGTGTGTGTAATTCTGTTTGACAACTCTTAAATAAGTAGATGTGTTCCCTGCCTTAGCCCATGGAAACCCTGTATTGAAATACTAGGTCATATTTTTATTTGTGGCTACCATTCCTTTTTTGACCACTTAGGTTTTTTTTCTCTTTGTCCACTGTTGTATCCAGGTTTGCTAAAGTGCAGTATCTAAATTTACTTTGTTCTGAGAAAGTGTTACTTTGTATTTGGTTAAGTGACTTTTCAATTAGAAAGACCTAAATAGTTAAACTGTTTGGATGGCTGCTAGCTAACTTAGTTCTCAAGATCTGAGGTATTAGAGTATTTGAGAGCATATGTGGTTTTTAAAAAAGCAGTTAACTACTCTAGTAAAGGCAAAGGGTGAGTATTTTCTTTTTATTAAACATAAAACCAACTTAATTTCAAGTTTATAAGAATTTGTTGGTTCTATTATGAAATAATTACACTTAAAATGACAGGGCTGGTTTTAAAGGCTTGGGAACAAAGTAGCAAACTGTATGGTCAGAGGCAAACAGTTAATTATTTCACAAATTAAAATCTTTATCTGATAATTCTCAGTGTAGTACCTATTTCAGTGCATTGATGTGCATTCTGGCAGGAATGTTCTGATTCTTTGCATTTGGTGAACATTTATTGTTCACTGAACACATCCATTTGCATTTATGTAATTGCTTAGTGTATAATTACTTCAAATGCAGTGATTGCCTGCAAAACTTGTGATTAGATGTGTAGTGTTTTCAATGCATTATGTATATTTTTGCTTGTTACTTGTTAACAATACTCACATATTCTATGTTTATTATCTGATGTGACTTCATATACAGACTCTGTCGCAAGCCATAGTCAAAGTGGTTATCCCAACAGAAAGGTACATGTTTTTCTTTATTATTACTGATCTAAATATAGACAATATCCCCTTCTGAATTAAAAAAAAAATGGTGTTGAGGAAAAGGTAATATCTTGACTGAGCAATGGTTCCTTCCCAGTACTTTTTGGGGGGGATATGTGACTAACTTTAGTATACTTTGCAATTTTATGTCATTATCTTTTTGTTTTTATTGTTAACAAAGTAGGGCATTTTATAGTTTTAGTAGTTAGAATGTGTTTGATACATTTAATCTGGAGTTGTTAGTTTAATAATATTGTGATGGGAAAATAGGTGTTTTAAATGTATTTTAAATTGTATATAATGTTACAGTTTGACCCAATCTGTTTTTTTCTTTTGGTTCCTGAATGATCTGTGTTTAATATGCAACCTTAGTTTGAGTTCTCCTTACTGAAGGGCATAGCTTTGTTTTTTTTCTAATTGATTAGGAATTCCTGTTATTTTCATGAACACTCAACATACTAGAAATTTTTTTCATGGTGACAAAGGTGTTTGGAATTCTTTTCTTTTCCTTTCTTCCTTTTTTTTCTTTTTCAACATAATGATAAAGCAGAAGAATTCATGCTCTAGGTATGCTCTTGCTCAGTCAAGCTAAGCCTTTTCCCAAACACAGGAACACAACACTGGTTGAATAATAAATGAACACAAAAGAATACCAAATTCTCTTTGACATTGGCCTTGGTGAGCAACACCAGCTGAACTGTCTGCGGCAGCGGGGGACCAGGAAAACATCATGGGATGGATTGGGAAAGTATACAGTTTTTGACCAGACATTGGTACGATCGACTCCAATAAATGTGGTTTTATTATAACTGAGAGACAATTTTTGTTTTTTTTTTTTGTTATTGTTGCCCAGAGTAAGATAATTGCCATTTTAAAATAAAATAATGCACTTTAAAATATATCATCTTTTTGTACTACACTGTTTCATTCTGATAGAAAAGTCACCCTTTTAAAAATGTTAAATACACCATCTTTAGGGAAAAAGTGTGATTGCAATTCTTTAATAATCTTGAATTCAGCTTAGCAACAACTAATTGTCAGATTTTGATTTTAAATAATCACATGAAATATTTTAAAACTTTTAACTTTAAATTTTCTAAAAATACATGTTATCAGTTTACAAGCCTGTTTAAAACTATAGTGGGTTATTTTTCCACTGATAAAGCATTCACAGGGAAGTATTTTTGTAGCATTCAAAAAGCATATTCCAGTAGTAGCTTTACATGTGGCTCAGCTTATTTCTAAACTAAATTTTGAGTATACATTTTGTTGAAAAGTCTTAACTCACCATTACAGTAAATCCTTTGTTTTAAACTTGCTAAACCACTTTTCATTTAATAATATTCAAGTCAAGTTGCATTTGACTTAAGTCATACAAGTTTCTGGATGTATAGTATTTGTCCCCCCAGTAATTGATTTTATATATTATGATATTTACATAAAATTTCCCTTCACTTTAATTTGACACATACCAGTGGGAGTTTTGGAACTGAATCATAACTTTACATTATCTCCCTTCCTTCCAAATAATATCATTAACTATATGGATGCTGAGAATACATTGTCATTTGGATAACAAAAACTGCATATTTGCAGAATAGTTAATACTTCTGTGAAAGAAAAATAATTTTTAGATATAAAATTAAGTGATGCTTCTGGTTTTTTGTTTTAACAATTTGAGGTTGAATTAATAGTTTTAAATACATAGCTTCCCCTTTATTAAAGATTTAAACTTTCATATAATTTTTTTGACCTAGAGGAGGTCAAAAAAATTTTTTTTCACCATATAGAGATTTTAGTGTCCATTTAATAAGTAGGTTTGTTTGAAATGGGAGAAAATAATTACAGTGACCATGAGATAAATTTATTGTTTATGTACTCTGAAGCAGGGCATTATAGAGCCAAAAAAATCTGTCTTATTCTATAACTATATATTTATTTATATTCTAGCAATTACATGAACTTAATTTGAGCTGGGAATGCTAAAGGTGTAATTTAGTGTGTGCCTTGTACCAAGAGCCAATATCCTTTTGCTTTTCCCAATTACTATTTGCCTACTCTGTATGCTGGGGGACTGGTGAAGTGAGAAATCAAAAGCAGCTTATAATAAGCTGAGTCATTTATGCTTGATGCTGTAATTAATGTCTTAAAATAGTGTTTAAATCACATGAGTTTTAGGACCTAGATTTTAAAAATAAAGATTTTCTATGAGCCCAACCAATAAAATGATTGTACTAAAAAAGTTACAAGTTTCTTCTTGGCTTAAATATTGGAAAGTAATTGTTATAAAAAATGGGAGAGGCATCTCACCATGTCCCTTATTTTGGAATATTTTGGAAAGAGGACTCCATTTAAGGCTTTGGCAATATAATTGCTTCATTGAGTCATAATATGCAGGCAGAATTATACATCATGAGTTGTGTGAACCAGTTTGATGTGTGATCCAAAGGGATGTTGCCTCATTAAAGGTCAGATTCAATAAAAACTCCATCTGCTATATGTGTACCAGAAAAACACAAGAGTTGGATGGATTTTTTTATTAAATCAGGCCTTAAACTTGTTAAATAGTTTTGCATTTTTTATAAATTATAGTCATGTATATCACATTTCAATACCACCACAAAAGTGCTTGGTTTAGGAATATTTTCTTTTAAAACTGAGATAGTGTGTAAGTTTTTAGATGGCTATGATAACATGTAAGCTCTAAGTTTACTCATTTTATATATTTGCAGCTTTCCAATTAGTTGTGATTCATAATTTAATGTTTTGCATTTGGAAAATAAAATTAAGTGGCATTTAGAAAAAAATCTTTATTGCTATGAAGCTGTGTTGTGGTTTCCCACCCTCCCTTCATCTCTCCTTCCCCTCCCACTCCCCTATCCCCATTGTTCCACTCCCTCTTAATGCACAAGGCATTAACATATGCTCCAGGTTATTTTTTTGGTATAAAATGTTGTATTAGTCAGCAGAATTATCTTTTTCTGCACAATTATAGTAACTTAGGTCAAGTATAGTTTTATATAGTGGTAGGTCTGAATCCATTTTCTTTAACTGTGTTGTTGTTGTAGGAATTTGCTCGCCCTGATACATCGAATGATAGAGTTTGTTGTACGTGAAGGGCCAATGTTTGAAGCTATGATTATGAACAGAGAAATCAACAATCCTATGTTCAGGTGTGCATTTTTTTTTTATTGTGGTAAAATATACATATAATAGAAAATGTACCGTTTTTGCCATTTTAACATGTACAGTTGAGTGGCATCAAGTGCATTCACATTTTTGTGCAAACCACCACCATTGTCTATCTCCAGAAATTTTCTTATCTTCCATAACTGAAATTGTACCCCTTGAACAATAACTCCCCATTCCCTGGGCCCTCCAGCCTCTGGTAGCCGCCATCGACTTTCTCTGTCTCTTTGAATTTGTTTACTCTAGTTACCTCATATAAGTGGATTCATTCAGTACTTTGAGACTTGCTTATTTCATTTAGCATAATGTCTTCAGGGTTCGTCCATGTTGAAGCATGTGTAAGAATTTCCTTACCTTTTAAAGCTGAGTAATAGTCCATTGCATGTATATACCACATTTTTTTTTTAATCCTCAGGTGTGCATTTAAAAAATACTTTTTACTTATTTTTTGGAGCTAAAAATATTTGCTAGAATAAAGTTCTATAAGTATGGGGTTATTTTTGCAGTGGGATGAGAAGGCAGTTTTAGTAATTAGACTAGGATCTTGGGTCAGTTTTCTATCTGATTTTGATTTAAGTTAATTAAATAACATTGTTTTTAGCAGTCTCTAGGAGGAAAATACTACTCTTTTTTTTATGTTTTTCAGTGAAAGAGTCCTTCATAGTAGAACAATAGAGCACTATAGAAAATTGCTTATCTTCTGAACAGATATATTTAAGACATTCATTTAACACTCCTAAGTCATTTAACAACCACTGCTTTTGAAATTTCTATCTTGGGAAAATCCACTGCCAGATATAATATCTGACATATAAGCATTCAATAAAATTGATTGTAAGACTCAGTAAGATGCATACATACCTTCTGAGTACCAATGTCAGTCACAAAGGCAGTGTGGGGGCTAGGCTGAGGAAGGGGATAGATGGCAGAAGGCAGTGGGTGAGGATTTTTCTTCAGGGATCTCTGCTTTTGGTTTATTTCAAATGAGATAGGCAAATAGTATTTCTCATTTGTTTAAATTTACTTGAAGACACTCCTTTGTTAAAGAATATATTTTTTTTTTGTTTGTTCGTTTTGTTTTAGGTTCTTATTTGAAAACCAGACACCAGCCCATGTTTACTATAGGTGGAAGCTTTATTCTATTCTGCAGGCAAGTGGAATCAATTACTTTGTTAATTTCGACTCTGAGGTATTTCACCTAATAACATTCTGGACATTTATTAGGGAGATTCTCCGACTAAGTGGCGGACAGAAGATTTTCGTATGTTCAAAAATGGATCTTTTTGGAGACCACCACCATTAAATCCATACCTGCATGGGATGTCAGAAGAGCAAGAAACAGAAGCTTTTGTAGAGGAGCCTAGTAAAAAGGGAGCACTTAAGGAAGAGTAAGAATTTTTTCTTTTCCTGTTACATATTCAGAAAAGTTGCTTTAATAATTGCTTTAATGATCTTACTAAGATGTTAACCTAAAAGAAAATGTTTTTTCTTTTACTTGTGAATGTTTAAAATACATTTCTCATTTTGTGTTTTGTAATTTTAAACATCTTGACAAGTATAAGTATGTGTCCTATTGACCTCTATCTCTTCCTACTGATGAAAAATAGTGATAATCTCTTAAGCAATGAATCTCTAACAATGGAATACTTGTGATTCTTACAGAAATTACCTTGGGACCCTTGGAATTCTAGCCTCTCTGAATGCAACATTAAAGAGGAAAAATTACTGTAGAGCTTTGTGAAGTCAGATGGTTGATTATGCAGAGTCTTTACGCAAGAGTTGCAATGTGTCGCCACCATGAAAACGTATTAGTGCTCAGTCAGTATGGGTACAGTGAAGTTAGTCTGGTTTAAGAAGCAGAAACATGTAACTAGGGCGCCTGGGTGGCTCAGTCGTTAAGCGTCTGCCTTC